ATAGTTTTCCTAATTTAATGTACAGAAGTCAACGCCCTGGTTGTCACTGCCTTCTGAAGAATATTTGCGAGAATTGAGCTACGACTTCCAAGAAAATGTTGATCAGAGTTTTCATTTAAGGCACTTAGCATCGAGCCTAAGGCTCGTTGTCTATTGCATCTCAAAATTTGGAGAAATTTGTGAATTGCTTCTAAATCAAATTGGATAAACTATGTTGTTTCAATGGTCTCATATCCTACATCTGATTGCTACGATAGCAACAGTGCCTCTATACTCTGCCATTATCGTGGTCATTTTACGTAGGCCGAAAGTGACGCAGCTCCATGCCCTTCTTTTGTCGCAGGTAAGATCCGAATGTAGTTTTGATCTAAAAGTGTACGCTGTAATGGCATGACGCTATGGTGCGGCTGACAGATAAAGTCCCGCAAGTTTTTAGCTTGTTCCATATTGTTTTCGATTTTAACATTGAAACCGATATATCTTGACACCGAGTGTACCTATAAACACATGGTTGTACTTGTCAATGCATAGAGTATACTTTCTGTGTGGGAGGAACCAGGGCTATTAAGGCTGCGTTCACACTGATCCCGATCGGAAACAGTTCAGCACGCTCGAACCGAGCGCTGTGCAGGAATGTTCCCAAACTTCCCCATCAGCATGAACGCAGCCTAAAGGCAGCACGCAGCAAATTCGAAAATGTGGGAGTTTTCACGTGGACAATAGTTTTGTTGTCCTAACTGAGAAATTGTCCAAGCGGGAACTCAGATGGTGCACTCCCACCTGAGGTGTTCATCTCAACAGACCAGTATCGTAACGGACACTGCTCATGCTCTCATATTTTCGTAGCCCTATCAGTTTCGCGTGGTCGCGAAAGCATGCAAGCACTATGCACCGTACGTTAATACGATCATGGGTCCATTTTGAGGCAGATATCTCAGGCGTGAGTGGTTCATTCGCACTGCCACGCAATGTCATGATTAAAGCCCCAAAATTACTTTCCACGTAAGTTCCTCGTAGGTCCAGATTTGCCAGAAAGCCCTTGAAGGCGGATTTTGCCATTTTTTCCCAATCAGTTATTTCTTCATTTCCAGGAAAGAAAAAATATCGACATTGTATGATCTCCGATTTATCAGGTATTTTTTTTTTGGGTGAATTGGAGATTTCTACTTTGGAACGAAGATGCTTGATTTAAGCTAAAATTCTATTTGACTACTTTTAGAATTTGGTTAGATTTAGGCGCACGCTTGGTGACCGTCTTGTAGACCTTGCTTTGTTTTATAGTAATCATCCAGGCGTTTTTATCGTATGGTGACCAAGCTGCACTCAATAAAGGACTGAAACAGAAAAACTTTCTTTTGTGAAATCAAAGAAAAATTTTGAGAGGTATTGACATTTTGGCAGATTTAGTCTTCTCCGTGTAAAGTTTCTCAACACATACTGTCTTATAATCATACTAAAAGCAATTGCGAATTCGATCTGCAAGAAGAGTAGAAAGAGAATACAAAGAAACTACTCCAGTTTGTGTGTAGGTAAGATATACCGACGGATCATATGTTGAAACATTGTGGCATTGAGAAATACTGGATGTGCGCTTTTCTGCAGTTGTGCATATAGGCAAGACCGACGATGTGTGACCAAAAACCCTACCCATCTCAAAACCTCAAATCACATAGTATACCATATTACACGTGTATAAAAAGGCCAACAGAGGAGTGTACCTTGTTTCATGCAAAAGGTAGGGTGAGAATCGCTGGCTATCGTCGAATGGTAGCGCGGGCGAGCTTCCTTATCATGGGATTGTTGGAAAATCAGTTATGCTTGGGTTTGTACACCTCGTTTCCTGCGGGAGATACGATGGAACCGCTGGTCACCGTCGAATAGCGCCGACGGGCTCTTGCAATGTTAATTGGTCAGATAAATTGAACTTATATAGAGTTATAAGCAATAGAATTATTAGCATTAGTATCTCCTTCATCTTTCCCTTACTATTTATTTTAGGTCATGCGTGTCAGTATGTCTTCCTTGTTTTTCTTTCCATGTATTTGTCAAGTTCAGATGCAAAACCGATATTCCCGATACTTTAAGAGATGGCATGTCATCCATGGTGTGCACGGATATGTCTACTCTGCGTTCATTCAATCTTGACTTCAAGAGCCTTTCGCTTTCCTCTGTATACTCTCACCGCATCCTTAACATTCATTCATAATAAGTATATAGAGCTATAAGCAATAGAATTATTAGCATCAGTCCCTCTTAGGGCACATAACTGTTGGTTCAGGCACTCAACATCCTCTTTCGTAAATCCGTTTGTTTGTGAGAACTTTGTCATAGTAGAAAGCACTGAAAATGTAGGTAGTGTAAGGAGTTTAGAGCAATTTACATTTGGTTAGCTTCCGGGCAGTCTTTTTTTTCATAGGGCAATGCTAGTGCAAGTCCGCCTGTAACATCATAAGGCTACAGGCGGACTCACACAATATGATTCATTGCCGGGAAGGAGACGAAGGAGGTTTATTGTATGCTTCCAAAAATGAGGATGTGATTGTTTCTGATTGAGTTCTGCACTCGAAAAGAACTTGGTGCTTTCATCTATTTCTAAGGTATATTGGCAAAAAAGCAGCATTTGCTATTGATAGTACATCGCGATGTTGATTCCATCACTACCAGCTTTTTAAGTCCTTTTTTCTTAGTCGGCATGACGTTTGAGCTATACAGTGATGTTTCGCTTGAAGGCAGTGTCGCAAAAAGTCGATTTTGAGATTTTGTGCTTATCCGTGCCTATTCACTACGCTGAATCCAAAAATCCATTGAAAAGCGCGAAACGGCAAAAAAGGGCTCTAACGCAGGAGGGAAATCGGAAGTGGGCGGGGTCCTCCCCACTGCTCAGATAATCGCCGGGGGCAGGCGGTCCGCAAACTCGCGCTTTTCTGCAGGCGGTCAGCAGGATTTCGGAGCGTGGCCAAATCTTCAGCGGGCGGTATTTCCGTTTTCTGCAAGCGGGCATCAATACAGAATTTTCTGCAAGCGCTCCGCAAACAATCTCTTTCAGCGAGCGCTGGCCAAACTTTCAGCAGGCGCTCGGACTCTTTTTACGCGGTTTCGGGCATACGCCGAGAAAAGATGAGACTCTAGGTGGCAGAGGTGCCATCGATGGTTTTATTACCCAAGTTTGGGGTACTTTCTTTCAGCGGAAAGTACCTGGGGGTTGCGCGGTCCTCCACAAAGGACCGTGCGGCTCCCAATAATTTTGCATGTTTTCGCGGAATGTCCGCGAGAATGCGGTCACTGTGCCGCAACTTATGTATAGAAAAAGCGCGGTAGATCTTCGAGCGTTCGTCTAAAAATTGGCCAAAATTATTCCAAATTTCTGCAAGCGGACCACAAAAAATCAGCGAACTATTTTTCCGGTGCCCGCTTGCTCCAAATTCGCATGGCCGCTTGCCCCCGGCGATTATCTGAGTGGGAGCGTGAATTCAAGTGGGGAGGACCCCGTCCACTTGCTGATTTCCCTCCCGTGTTAGAGCCGTTTTTCGCCTTTTCGCGCTCTCCAATGTGCATTTTAGAATCCAGCGTAGCGAATAGGCCTGGGTAAGCAAAAAATCTCAAGATCGACTTTTTTCCCGGACACTGCCTTTAAAGGTATTATAGGTAGATTTTTTTCGCTTATTTGGGCAAATCCTTCCCGCTGATTTCGAAAATGCAGCTTGCAGAGTACGGAGTTGTCGAAAACGGACTATGCTAGAAGCCTCCGATTTCGAATTTGGACGCTTGCCGCCGAAGTTACGCAGAGTCGTGGTGGGACTCTACGGCTTTAATGTGTGCGATGCGCACTCTAGCTTATCGATTTATTACTCGGTGGGCGGGGTCCTCCGATCGTGGCGTCACTCTCTCAACTTCCGTAGCATCTCGCCCTTTCGGGTTCACGAAATATGCTCGCGATTGGCCTGGGGGTATGTCAGGGCAGCACTTTTGTGCAACAGTGAAATCCCAAAACTTCCAACCTAGTCTGGATACTTCTTTAACTTCATTCGCGTATATCAATGCTCAGTTTATTTAGTTTGGTATTCGCTTCTGCATCGACTTTCGTTGCTTCAACGGTTTTTGTTGATAATGGCTTCAAAGAAATGGTTGAAAATGGTTACGTAAGTACACTAGATCGTTTGTTATTCATGCCTTAGTTGGCAGGCGTATTAGTCTATTATACAGAACTTTATCCCAGTAGTCGCATTTACTTTTGACATACGGCGAACGATAGTCCCAGGCTTAAAGCAGCTGCCACCTCATCATCAAACTCTTTGATGCCTATTGCTTTATACTTTGAAAGTGGTATGCATCCTTTTTTGAAAAAAATTTGTTTGTGGATGATGTTGTCTTGGAGTTTTCAAATTTTGAGCCTACGGCTTTCCGACCTTCGCATTTGGAAACTAGTTCGTCAGAAATATCTTCAAAGATCGCGACCAAGGTGTGGTAGTCTGCGCAGGATACGCGACGGCGTTACGTATCCGGCGTTCATCTGGCATCAGCACAGTCGAACTAGATTTTACGTAAGCGTGGTCGTCTACCATGCTGCGGTAAAATGTAGGTGCGTTGACGGTTGCGTTGTTTTTCATTGTATCGTGTTCATGTAAGTAAACATACATGGAAATAATCAAAATGAGGTGATTTGGCGGCTCTTGGAGTGTTGCTGCTCTGTAATAGCTTTTGTTCGACATATTTTCTTTTTTTTCTTTTCGTCTTCCTTTTGATTTTCCTTTGATCAACATTTGTAAGACGAGAGGTGCCATATTTACGCCTAGTAACTGTGGATGAAGCACTTGCTTTAGGGTGCAGAATACTAGCACCACTTCCTGCAACGGCCAGCCATACAGATTTTCATACCTCGACGCTGTAGTAAAACTGTCATTTTTCCTCGAACGCCGGAAGAGGACGAAGCTGCAACATAAACACTATTATCTGAAAGTCGCTCTTCTGCTTTTCAATTTTTTCAGGGAGCAGCTGACATCATGTCGCTTCTAATATGCAATTTCCATGGAAGTTTTCGTGCTGCCGGAATAGTTAACGAATTCTTTTGGGAACATCGCTATTTTTTGGCCAACGGCATATTTGCATCAGGTTGTTATAGCGTCACTGTCAGATGCATTGGCATCACACTGACCTCAATGCACAGATATGTTATCATCTGCAAAGGACGAACGAAGGTTGGGGTAGGGAAGCATTTGGTGTTATGACAGCCTGTTATGCGAAATATGATTCGTTACGGATGACGTTTGCTTTTGTTAGCGTCATATAGAAAAGCTATGCAAAGGCTAATTGCCCGAGCCATGCCTTGAGCACCAGCATGTGCGAGAGAACGTCAAGAGGAACCACAGGAATTCACTTCCGTTTGAGAATTGTTTTGTCAGCTTTTATGTTGTTCAACGCAGAGTATGCATCAAGTAGAGCTGATTTCAAAAGCTTATGAAACTTGCGAAGGAGGTGCCTCTCGTTATCGCAGCTAAGAAGCATAGAGCGCTGCGGGCCTAACCAGGGCCCGGCACAGATGATCTGGGTCAAACTGGACTTCGTTTTGGAGCTTAGAAGCTACGGGAAAATCATTTTCATAAGGCCCTGGGCGGAGCGCCGAAAAAAACGATAAACATGTCAGTTTTTACAAGTGGAAGTGTTCTTTCGCAAGGCGCGTTTTAGAAACGCAAGACTCAAACAAAAAAATGGCTTCTTACAGGGCACAAACAATCAAATGGCACCGAGTTTGGGTTATGTGTATGCAGTTTTAGTTCAAATTATATTATGTAAAAAGTCTCAAAAACTTATGTGTCCTAATACCAGTTCCCGAATTTATTGGTTTCTAGACCAGCACCAAACCAACTGGGTTGGTTTGGAGCATAAATATCGGAGAGTTCACATAAGTTTTCGACTTTTTTGATTCGGACAATTAGAATGGTCAAAAATCATATAGTGAAGAAAGCGAATCAAACTATTGGCCCGTAGTAAAGCTGCTTCAATCGATCTCAACTGAATAAAATTTCAGTTGAGGCTTCGACGAGTCAGTTTGCCTTCAGTCGAGCCATTGATTGATATTGCCAACCACCCACGATAATAAGATTGAGAGCGCTCCATGCAAATATACAAGTCAAAACGCGTTCGCCAAACATCCTACATCTAGTGATTGGAGCTAGCGGCGGAGATGTGGCCGCACTTGTTAGAACTTGTTGAGTATTGTCAGCTTATACTGTGGCTTCACTTCGACATGTTAAACTGACGTGTGTTGTAAGTTACTCAAGAGTAACTTACGAAAATTTCCTCTGCGTATCATCATTAACACACTATTTGAATCAATAGGCAGTCTAACTGAACGTGACCTAACTGAAGTAAGGTAGATTACTTCGTCAGGTAGACGGATGGTCAGCTGAAATCTCATTTAGCATTCTTAACAACATGCGAAGCACGTGATAGGCAGTCTACCTTACCGAATCTTGGATGAGGGCTTCAGTTCAGTTCACCTGAACTGAATTAGCTTTACTACGGGCCATTGCCTCACCTCTTGTTTTGAGCCAAAAGTAGCGTAAACCTATGCGTTGATAGATATCGCGCTCCGATCACACGCGGTGTCCTTTAAACTCTGTGGCGAAAAATGCATAGCCAAACTATAGAGGCCACAGATTTGGTTCGCCTAGGAGGTTTTTGACGACCCCGCACGTTGGTGTTCAAACTAGGCACCGGCAATAAGTTCTTAGATGCCTGTTTGTGAACGGAGTTTTCATTTTTGGAGAACGATCATTTGCAGTTGGGGGATTGATCCCATGGTATATTTGGGTAATGGCACATTGGTCTATCTCTCTTTTGGTTTCAACTCCATTAGTGGTCAGCCTCAATGCAACTTTCGACTCGAAGGAAAACTTACTGCTCGTGGTGGACCAAACTAGTTTCGCGGTACCGTTATTGTGCAGCCTAATTCTTAGATCAACAAAAAAAAGAGTTTGTATCTTTCAAGAATGCACAATTACCTAGATACCTCTGGAACAAGCAATTGTTAACGTTGATGAGCTCCTATATGTAACATATGCTCGCTGGGGTGAACATGTTACATGATAGCATAAACTTTGCGTTTACTCAGATAATCGCCGGGGGCAGGCGGCCATGCGATTTATGGGCGGGCGGGCACCGGAAAAATAGTTCGCTGATTTCTTGCGGTCCGCTTGCAGATACTTGGAAGAATTTTAGCGAAATTTTAAACGATTGCTTGGAGAACAGTCGCGATTTCCTCATAGATTAGCTGCGGCGCAGTGGGCCGCATTCTCGCGAACTTTCCGCGAGAATATGCAAAATTGTTGGGGGCCGCACAGTCCTTTGTGAAGGACCGCACAGTCCGGAGGTACTTTTCGCAGAGAGAAAGTACTCCAAACTCGGGTAATCAAACCAGCGATGACATCTCTGCCACATAGAGTCTCACCTGTGCTCGGCGTATGCCAGAAACTGCGTAAAAACAGTCCGAGCGCCTGCTGAAAGTTTGACCACCGCTCGCTGAAAGTTATTATTTGACGGCTTGCAGGAAATTCTGTATTGCTGTCCGTTGGCAGAACACGGAAGTACGGCTCGTTGGAGGTTCGGCCACGCCCAAAATGCTGCTGACCGCCTGCAGGAAAGCGCGAGTTTGCGGACCGCCTGCCCCTCGACGTTTATCTCAGTATGTGGTAGGTGTCATCGGTGGTTTAATTACCCGAGTTTGGAGTACCTTCTTTTACGGAAGGTACCCTGGGTAGTGCGTTCCTTCACGAAGGACCATTTTGCATATTCTTGCGGAAGGTCCGCGAGTGTGCGGCCACTTCGCCGCAACTATTCTATGAAAATGCCGCAATTGATCTCTGAGCATTTGTCCAAAATTTCGCCAAAATTCTTAGAGATATCTACAAGCGGACCGCAAGAAATCAGCGAGCTATTTTTCCGATGCCCGCCTGCCCATAAATCGCATGGCCGCCTGCCCCCGGCGTTTATCTGAGTATCCCATTTTTTGCAGCTAGTGAATATTGTCTAAAATCAACCGCTGAATTATCTAAGGGCATTTGGAAGGTGTTGCGGAAAAGTCCCTATGAAACAAAACATTCGGAAAATGTAAAGCTGCATGAATCTGCTTATTAACGAATCATTCGGTTCGTTAATGATTCGAAATTATAACAATCAATTCGCTAGTACTCTATTTTCAGGTTACAAGCCGCACTTTTTCAAATTTGGCCATGAGCTGCTCAGCCGCTTCATTGTGTTTCGAGAAGCGATCGTTATGCCGCATTCTTTCAGGCAATTCGCAGCACGGTGTTGAGTGCTTTGGTTGCGAAGTCCTTGATGTGTTTGGGCTGGTCGATGTAAGCAATCACTCTGCGGCTTATACCCCTGAAAATAGTGTACAAGAATGCTCATTACAAGACCTCAAATTTTGTCTTTCACGAGAAAATGTGCTTTCAGAGTATGAATCTTGCATTATTCGTATCTGCCGTTATATCAGCCCTCCTATCTTCGATCTGTTATCTCCTCATACTCCTTTTCATCAGGAAGTGTGCGCTATGGTAAGCATTTGATTTTCAAATTGAATAGCAAAGCAAGTCAGTTCTCAATTTCTAACTTGTTATTTGCTAGACAACAATGCATACTCAATTTTGAAAGACTCTTATGAATTTTTGTGAACGATATCTCCATTGTTTAGGACAAGAAGGCAAGCAATACTGCTTGTCGTACAGATCAGCGGCCTAGTACTCTCTCTTTTGATAGTTTCTGTGTTCTATCTATGCTGCTATCTACCGTTCACAAAAGTATGTGTCCATCCACTGGGTTTGATCTACTCCGAATCATGATCACCTTTTTCAGAAGACTCCTTTCGCGCCGTTTGTGTTTGTGATAATGAATTTCATTTTGTCATGCACACACTCATAGACGTATTTTCTTCTCAATAGCGAGGTCCGAAGCAAAGTGCTGCGACTTGCACGCTGTCAGCTGAATGCGCAAGTAGGTTATCAAAAGCAAGACTTACAGCCTGCTTTCTGAGCGAATCGTGCAAGCTGGGATGTTTTTTGAATGATTTGACAGCTGACAAGGGAAGTTCGCGTACTCGAAGTGGCGATTCGGAAGGTTATCTATATCAATGGATAGAGCTCAAAACGCTGATCTAGATATGCCTTCTATATCTGCGATGCATTTTTCTGAAAAGAGTCATGAGCTTTTCTAGTGCCAGATTTTCGTCATTTTGAGCCGCAAAATCAGGAAATTTTCACAGAAAAATGTGCAAGCTTAAGCAAACCACCTAGAAAGTATTGTAGGTCTGATTTGAGTTCATCGGAACGATTTCAAGTGCTTCCCGACCATGGTTTGTCCACAAGTGTCATCTCCTTTTTAGATCATTCTTCCATTAGATGCACAAAAAGGCCATAACTCCATCTAAAAAAATTTATTTGAGTACAGCGTTTTACGCTCTATCCATTGGTATACATCACCTTCCGAATCGCCACTTCGACCCCAGCGAACTTCTCTTGTGAGTAGATAACGAAATTTATCACAATTTGAGCTGTTATGTGTAGTGCGACTCATTTGCAGGATCAGATCACCTGCATAGCGATCACACACGCATGGTCAAAGAGAGCAGCGTAATGTAAGTAATCCTCATTTCTACGCACATTACAAGCGTGACCTGCTCCTCCAGAGTCGTTCAAAAGAAAAGCAGCCAGGATTGAAAATTCACAAAAATTTGTGATTATATTATTTTTGCTTCTATACGACGTCACCTATTGCATACAGTATTCAGTCGGACAGCTTTCGCAGCGAGAGCATGTGCTTAATTTCAGTCGTTTAGGACAAAATGGAATGTTGTAGTACGGTAAACCATCTCACTTTTAAGTGTTAAAGCAGCAGATAAATCAAGAACTAAAAATACTCACTTCTCAATGCATTGTTTACCGCACGCGATTGCATCTGTTTCAACATCATAAACCTAGAACCTGCTGCTAGAAGAGTTTTTAGGCATAGGAGTAGCGTTCAGGATTAAGTGAGAAGTGTGATTTTTGAGGCAGTGCACTAGATGTTCCTCCAGGCTAAACAAGGGTCAAAAGCTTGCCTGCTGACTTCGAACTTCGTGCTTTTGCTCCTTCCTAGCAAGTCACACCGAAACACAGTGTTTTTTCAGACAAGTTATTATCAAATGATTACTGATTGCCATTTCGCCACAGATGCTAAAATCAGAACCTCAGAATCGCATATCTCCAAAAAAGCAAGCAAGTCATTCAAGAGGAGAGTCTGTGAATACACTGCACATAGTTTGCATTCGTCATCGTTGTTATTTTCATGCCCATTACTTTCAACTTTCTACATTGTGTTGTTCTTCGTCTGTTGATAAAAGCATCTACTTTAGTAATTTTTTTGTATTAATTGACACAGACGATGTGCTGCTCATTAATAAGCAGCCTAAACTTCAGAAGAGAAAAGAACGAAAATTTTACAGTTTTCTTAGCTCAGTTTTATTCAATCTCGGTTGTAAATCTGATATTACTCTACACACTTGCACCTCCACTTTTCCGATCTGGGCGCAAAGCGCAATATGTAACGCTATTGTGTTCGTCCAGATTCGAGCTCATACACAAAATTGAAAAACTAGCACATTAAAAGTGCAAAGATTAGAGATTTCTAACAGCTGCAGGGCGTTCCATATCGTTACTGAAATAATGGATACTTAAAGTAGGATCGGCTGTTAATTTTAGTGTAGTGAAGGCGGTGTTCGGACAATACTCAACTTCTAGTAAATTCACTTGCCTAGTGTTTCCGCAACGCTGTGAAAGTCCATGTTAGAAAGCGCGAAAACTGCAAAAACGTTTCATGCTTTCCCAAAGCTTATAAATTTGAGTTGGACAGTTCCCGGCAAGAATGAGATGCAGAGTCACTGCGGGATCCCACGATCAACTGTAGCGGCACTGTAACTGTACTCAGCCCAGAGTACACATGCCGCCAGCCCAGAGATTGAAAAGGAAAGCTCCGCCCCAGGGCATAAGTCTCCCATTCCAACCGTATTCCAAGCTTCTGCTCAGATAATTGCCGGGAGCAGGCAATCCGCAAACTTGCGCTTTCTTGAGGTCAGCAGAATTTTGGGGCGTGGCACCTTCAACGAGCGGTACTTCCGTGTTCTGCCAGCGGACAGCAATACAGAATTTCCTGCAAGCGCTCGTCAAATAATTTCTTTCAGCGAGCTCTGGTCAAACTTTCAGCAGGCGCTCGGACTGTTTTTACGCATTTTCGGGCATACGCCGAGCAAAGGTGAGACTCTATGTGGCAGAGATGTCATCGCTGGTTTGATTACCCGAGTTTGGAGTACTTTATCTCTGCGGAAGGTACCTCCGGACTGTGCGGTCCTTCACAAAGGACTGTGCTGCCCCCAACAATTTTGCATATTCTCGCGGAAAGTCCGCGAAAATGCGGCCCACTGCGCCGCAGCTAATCTATGAGGAAATCGCGATTGTTCTCCAAGCATTCGTCTAAAATTTCGCTAAAATTCTTTCAAGTATCTGCAAGCGGACCGCAAAAAATCAGCGAACTAGTTTCCGATGCCCACTTGCCCATAAATCGCATGGCCGCCTGCCTCCGGCGATTATCTGAGTGGTTAAACGTTGCGGCATCTTACGATTCTATTGCATGCCAATCACCTTGCAATTCGGTTGTGATGTTTCTCTAACTCGACCAATCGTGGTTAACTATCACAACCGGAATGCAAGATGAGCGACATGCAATAGAATCGCAACTGTTTGTCTTGTGATAAGAATCGCTGCGATCAAGCTGAATTCTATCTTGGGCCATAGGGATCCTCAAGGGATCTCGGCTCTTTTTCAAAGTCATTGATCTTTGCAAAAACTCAATGAAAACGTTGTAAAGTTGTGCTGAAGATTTAATAGTTAAGCATTTTTCTAGTAGCACAGATGAAATGTAGAATTGAATTTTTCGATAAACCCCAACTCGCGAGCAGAGGTTCATAGAAGATTTCCTCAACTTGAGTTTTCACTTACTACTTCGCAGAAATGCTCAGTACTGCCACAATAGATCAACAGCATAATTTACAGAAATTTTATTGACTGTTTCCAAAGTGTTATGTATCAGAGCGGTTGCAGAGAAGCCTTTATCCGAGAGAGAGAGCAAGCCAGAAGAATGAGAAGTGTATGACTGTCACAATTATACAGGGTGTCCCAAAAGTATGTATCGAACGTTTGATCGTTAATATCTCTCTTCCCAAGAAGTCTTTTGCCTTGCTTCAGGTACCGTTTTGTAGAGCTGGCTTCAACTTAGATTTGCATTGTAGAACGAATCACTTCTCTCTCTTCATTACTGTAGGATTACGGTAGAAACTTCAAAGAGGGTTTTGAGCCATGAAAGGCCATATTTTGCCACAGAAAGGAAACAAAACAGTTTGAAAACTTTTATGCTAGGCTAATTAGAGTTGCTGATTATAACTGTAAAGTTCCCAACTTATTATGATGCTTCATTGAAGAGTTATGCCAGGTAAGAAGTAGCGGCCATTTTTTCAATGTTCCTAAAAAGTGGGATTGCACCGTTTAGAAAGCTTCGTAATCTTGTGAATAGTTAATTATTGAACTCAGCGTCCATAAAAACCCTATTACACAAGTTTCCACAATTTTTTGAAAAATTTTGAAACGGCAGCTTTTTTCACATTAACACCATATGTTTCAAGTTTCTACCGTAATCCTACAGTAATGAAGAGAGATGAATGATTCGTTCTATAGTGCAAATCTAAATTGAAGCCAGCTCTACAAAACGGTACCTAAAGCAAGGCAAAAGACTTCTTGGGAAGAGAGTTATTAACGATCAAACGTTCGATACATACTTTTGGGACACCCTGTATATAGTTGATTGTTGACATAAACAAATGGGATATCGTATCATATCATCAAGCACATCCCTCCTAAGACAAAGAAAATCTATATGTCTTTAAAATTAACATGTAATTGATCAGGCTGGTTTCGGTGTCGAACTGGATACTTCTTAGAAGTTGATGTCTTCGTTATTGATGACAGTGTGGATGATATAGGCTCTTGACTCGACATATCCGTAACAAAGTAATGGCTTCTTGCTTTTCCTCTGAATGTGTGTTCGTTTCTTCTTTGGCCTTCACTGCACTTCAGATCTTCACTGCGCATCTGAATGGCATGTCTTCTCCAAGAAAGCTTATCTTCCGTCTCCGCATCGTATAGAAGTTTTACTTCTTCCGTTAGTTCTTCAGTTAATGGCGTAGGCTTCATTCTAACTGGTCGTCTCAAGAACGTTTATCTGGAGACCGGCTTACAGGTGGCAAGGCATTTGAAGTTGGCCGATTCTTCTCGACAATCGTAACAGCTTCTTTTAGGAATGACTTCACTTTGGCTTTTGAACGTTCGCAATACGCAGTCAAACCTTTTTGAAGATTTCTTTGAATCTAAGACAACTTGCGCCACTTTGAAATCTTCTTTCTTTACTGAAGGGTAGTGGTATTTGTCTTTCAACTTCTTATATGCAGGTAGGTGAATGCACCACTCTAAACCGAGTAGATTTGTGTTAACAACGTAGCAGTATCCTTCACCATGAATAGGTTTGTTTGACCTTCGATCCGTCACGGCAAATTCTGTATAGAATCTTCCAATAGTTTTCATCGGTGAACCATCTGCCGTTCTCACCAGCAGAGAACAAGGTTCCAACTTAGGCGATCCAAGCATCTTCCATCGCCGTCTTGATATCATTTGATATCCGACCCAGTGTCGAATTGAAAAGGTATGAGCGATTTTTCATTTTGACAATGATGTGTGTACGAGCGGCCTGTGCTGCGAGGCTACTGGGCTTCTTTCAGTGGTCTTTACTGCAGTAAGTTTCTTTTCTTTGTCCAGCTTTAGTTGCTTGTTCAGTTCTTGAAGGCGAGTGTGGGCGTATGCTTCTTGAGTTAAAACTTCCACATTTTGAGTATTTTGAGCTCGCTTTTCGTACTGCTTGTACGATGTACTGCGCTTCCGTATCTGCGTTGTCCTTGCTCAATGCTGTCAGATTCTCGCACTCATTGACTAGTTCTTCGATTGTCAATGGTCCATCCTTGTGCGAGTCCAGCCGCTGGAGCATCTTCAATCGAATGTCTCTCAAAGAAGGAGCCTGGAGTCCTGCGACATATTGCAATGTCTTCAGAACAATGTAGTCGAACTCTTTCGTCTGCGCCTCCTCATCCATGCGCTTGATTTGATTTGCGTATTCGCGGAAAGGAGTGTGTCCTGCCGTGAGCGGCGGACAATCTATCTTAAGGCACTCGTACCTTTTTCGTACGAGTGTCTTCTTGGACGCGAACAGAGTCGCCAACTTGGCGACTGTCGTCTCGAAGTCCACTTCATGTGGTTTCGATGGGAGGATATCGTCTGCGTATCTGCGGTAAGCTTCTTCGCTCATCTTCGTCAAAATGAGGTCTTTCTTTCTGTCATCGGGCATTTCGGCCTGCCTGATCAGGGGGCCGTACCTGCTAAATCAGTAAAAAAATATCGTATCTGATTCTTCATCGGGCACGAAGTTCGCCACGTCTCTGGCTAGCTGGTCGCAGGTTTCTTTTCTTCTATCCGGATCGTGGTTGTTCTAAACGGTCTTGAACAGCAACATAGTTTCTTCATGCTGCGCACGCATCGCTTCTTGCTGGATCTTCATTTGTTCTTGCAGCTTCCTCGTTTTTTCTTCGTATCGAGCCTCCATCTTCTCTTGTTGATCCTTGTCTGTTCTTGTTGAATCCTCATCTACTCGATTAGAGCAGTGATGAGGCTGCCATCCAGCGAGTGTTCTGCCATCCTTGATCTGGAGCGTTCTGCCGTCCTTGTTGAGCGTTCGGCTGTTCTCGGCATAGTGAGCTTCGTCCCTGATCGCCACTGTTATGTACCAGAGCGGATGCAGAGAAGCCTTTATCCGAGAGAGAGCAAGCCAGAAGAATGAGAAGTGTATGACTGTCCACAATTATGTATAGTTGAGTTGTTGACATAAACAAATGGGATATCGTATCATATCATCAAGCACATCATTCTTCAACACAAAGATAAATGACTTTATAGCTGAGTCGTGATTACCTGAGGATCCCGTTCGGGATCATACAAAACGAAAATCTCCGCTTACCAGCAAAGTGCTTCATTATTATGCTACAATATTGAGGTAA